TTAAATATCTACTGTGATTTGAATCGTTCAATTGTATCCAATGGTAACAAATTTCTGATCCACCAATAAATAAGTTGTTAAGCTGAATCACGTAGAAATTGTCATATTATTGAAACAAGACTAATAATAAGAATTGGTGTTAGAAGGTGATACTATTTTATGGGCTGTAACTAGTGAGGATGGCCCAATCTGAATTGTACAAAAGTACTAAATGAGACTAAATTTCTTCACTCGTGAGCAACTACAATAAACACAAAAGAAGGCAGGCAACACCGTTATCAACCTGCACTCCTTCTACCTCGTCCGTTGGGTTTGAGTCCAAGGCATTGCCGAAACAAGCAACTCAATCAATGGACAAGCTCGAACAAGTCGGACAAATGAATGTTGATCGCCTCCGCGAAGCACTCTTCGTCGTGCGGCGCAACCTCATTAGGGCAACAAACCTTTCCGGTTGTTCATAAAGGAAAATGCCTACATGGCTCATTATGTTATATCGTATATATTATACCTTTTAAAGTTTATAATAAAAATAATTAATTTATATTTATCATTTTTCATATGATTAACACACACCTATATATATATATATAGAACCCCAAGCATGTGGTTCAGCGGTAGGGGTTGATCCACGCTTAAGCAAAGTCGGGGTTCGAATCCTGCCTTGTGTACGCAGCCGCGTTAAATCTTGGGGCCAGCTATCCCATCCTTTGAGGTGCCTCCAACGTAGCGAGGAGATTAGTCACTACTATCGGCAGTGAATACTCCAGGGACGAATAAAAAAAAAAACATGAGCAGATGAGCAGTTATTTAAAGAGGGTAAAAAATTAAGACAAGAAAAACATTAAAAAAGAAAAAATAATTTAAATTTATGAATAAAATAAAAGAGGATAAAATGATGTATATAAAAATGGAGGGTAAAATATAGTTAGTGAAGGGGGGCATCTCTTATGGTATAGATATATTCATCCTAATATTTATTTATTCCACCATTTTTTTTTATTTGTCTTCTGATTGTAGAAAATATTAGAATAAACATTACATTCATTATGTAAGTATTATTCTCATTAGTTTCTAAATAATCCATGAAATAATAAAATTATATAAATAATTGTTGGTGTATCATCCAAAATGTGATTTTCTTTTCGTCTTTCTCCAAACCCAAACCCAAATCGTAAACTTCTAAACTGAACGAAACCATCACAGTACTGTGGAGCGTGCGTGCATCGTAGGAAAAAGGCAACCCTATCGTTTTCGCAGTTGCTGTCCGTATTGAAAACATTGAATTGAGCATCACAAAGTTGATAAAAAAGCACGTACATTGAATAGAGGTGTAAATGCCAGAACTCGTGTTCAATTATATCCGTATTGCCAAAGTCCGCAGGAACAACGACGAATAATACCAAAGGATTTTAACTTTGACTCTGCTACCTAGTTGCATTTACAATTTTACATATATATCCTGTTGTTTCAGGCGTAGCAAAACAGTGCCATTGATCTACAATTGAACGTTAAAATAATCAAATAATTAAAAGGCAGTTGAATTAATTTGTGGACCAAAATCTCGAAAGTGACATAAAAAGCTTTTAAAAATTAGGCTTAATTGTACTTTTCATCCTCCTAATTTAGTGTAGGAGTAATTTTAGTCCTCATAATTTGAATTGCTTAATTTTGGTCCATAAATTTAAATAATGTACAATTTTAGTTTCACCCTACACGTAACCGACCCCCGAACCTAATTCTAGTTATCAAGGCCATTATTGAACTTTAAAAAACCTTTTCTTTTTCCAATGTTTTGAGTAAAACATTGGTGGCAAATGTGGAAAGAAGGCTAGATATCAAGGAAGCTCTTGCACAAATTGAAGACTTGAAAGAAACTGAAAATGATGTAATTATTAGAGATTACTCCTTCATTAATATAACCTCCGAAAGGAATACTTATAGAGTTGTGTGATTGTCACTCTCTTTTTTTTTCCTACTTCTTCACTTTGACTTTATTTGGAACCTACTAATTTGTGTGCATCGAAGGTGGCTATTCCCATGAAGATGAACATATGCTATTAATTAATCATAACTTTTTTAATTAATTAATTAGTTTTTGTGTCCATCTATTTTTTGGTTAACATAACTTAGTCATTTCTTTAACTGAACCATCTTGAATTGTTACTTTGTCCATGTAGAACTAGTTAGAATTAGGCAACCTTTTCCTTAATTTAACAAATCTTTGTATAAAATATGAATTGTCTCACTATATTGAATATGTAGTGCTAGGCATTTTGTAAAACATGCACGTATTGACAAAAATTATTAATTTCTAACACGTAAATTGAATTGATATACAAATCTCTAATTTTATCATTTTTAATAAATTGAGTTAATTAAGTCAGTATGAGAACTCGATTACATTATTCATATACTAACTTGGAGACAATGTCAAATTCGAATTAGTTTTTGTACCAACTTGGTCAAGAATACAAACTTGGCTAAGGGTTTCACCAAGTTAATATGTTGACCATATACGATGAAGTCGGCATATAAACTCGATATTCATATTTACGATTCAAAGGAAAGTAGTTTATCGGTACATCAATATGGACAATTACTGGATCATAAAAAATAAACAATAAAAGTTAACAATAAGGAAGTTACATATAACATAAAGAGGGAGAATATTTAGTAAATTAGTCTAACTTGGAGTCCTTTTTGTTAGTACCTTTGTCATTTGGAACGAAGAACAAAGACCATCTCATTTGACATCAATTCACAAACACGAAGGGGGATCTTACTGAATAACCTTGTCATTTATCATTTCTTTGGCAAGTGTACCAAATCATACATGTAGTTTAATAATAAGTATGTTTACCGTTTCCCAAGGGACTTACGCAATACTTGATAGAAACCACTAATTATACTAAACTAAGCTATTGGAAATAATTTTTTTTGATTGGTTATAAGAATTAAAGTACTTGAACAAGATAAATGTTATGAGAAGTCTTTTTAGACTTTTTACGAATACTTAGAATGCAAAAACTAGTTTTAACACAATAATGAAAGATGTTGGGGTTCAACTTCACCAAAGTTTTCTCTCATGATTACAAACAAGCTCAAACTAGTTATGATTCAGAATTTATCAATCACTCACAAGTATAATAGACCCTAAAATCTTTACAATTTTGACTTTAAATCACTTGATTAGTTTATCAATTCGTTAAATAACTTGTTTCTACTTTTAACCATTTATTATGAAAACTTATCTTTTATACAAACTAATATCCAATTTTGATGTTGCCTTCTTATACACTTTTTTAAAAATTACATTCACTAATTACTAACATTTATCAATAAAAAAATTATATTTGAATATAACTTTTTAACAAATTTATTATAAAAATCTTATAATATAACATATTTTTTTTACAACATATAATATAATTAATGTTGTTTTTTTTTCTGTGTATATTATTAATATTAGTTAAAATATATTAGAGTAGACATAAATTTATTTGTGTCCGTCTCTCTAAGTGCTTGTCTCCCCTCTTTTCAAATTTGTATTTTTTTTTGCCTCCCTCTCTTTTGTAATTTGAAATTTCTTTATTTCTCCACACCAATGCCTCCTATGTATCTTGCGCTTCTTTTCTTTTCTTTTGTCTTTGCAAGTCCAAGACGATTGTGGATTGCTTTTGCTTCTCTGATTTTGAATTGAGATTGATTCTTGTTTCAATTTCTTTGATTCTTGTTTTGTTCTATTTAGAGTGCAATGAGACTAGACTCCTTAATTGTATTTATTGTTGTTTTTATTCCAGTGTCTATGTCTTAGTTCTTTCTTGAACTTGCATTTTCTTGTTTTCAAGATCGGGTGTTTTTTTTATTGATTTTAATACGGATAATGATTGCATAAAAGAAAAAAGAATGATGTAGTCATTTTGTGACATAGGTTAATATAATCTCGATCACTAATGTTTTGTTTGTGCATTTGTGCACCCATTATTTTAGTTTGAAGAATCTTGTTTGGTGGTAAAAAGGTGGGTCTTTTTCAATTATTTTTTGATTTCCATTTTCTGGGTTTGGATCAAGATTTTGAGATTGGGAACTTGTGTTGCAGTTTCAACTTGGAGTGGATGAAAGAAAGCTACAACCTATTCGTTTCAAGACCTAGGTGCATTCTGGTAATGAGCAAGTCATAAATGATGTGTGGTTTGTTTTGAATTTTATGGTGTATTTGTGGGAACTTAAATATGACTATTTGGTATTAGATTTGAATATTCAATGATACTATGTTGTTGTGTATTTCAACTTTGAGGTACATGATGTCACTTATGTATATTATTTTATATGTGTATTTTTTTTAGTTTAATTCCATAATTGTATGTGATATGAATATGAATATGAACTAGTCAACTATTCCCAGAACACTATACTAAATTGTCACATACCTATGTAATTTAGTCAATCACTAGTTGATTGAAGTGTTTTGTTTTTTGGGTAACAGATAAAGATTGTTATTGTGTTGTGCTGTTGTACTTCACACATAGTTTATGAACGAAACATTTAAATTGCAATATGTGGTTTGTTTGTTTATATTTTTTTTAACAATTTAGTAATAAATTTTTGTGATTTATTTATTGTAGGCAAATATTGTCTTTGGTGATTAGAGTTATGTATAGAAGTTTCAACTGAATTCAACTCAAACTTTATTATGTGCTGGAAAGGAATGTGTGAAGTGGAAGAGGGGCTGATCCTAGCTGGAGTCTTATGCAGGTTCCTGTATCATTGCTCAAAACAACTACGTAAAGCATTGTTGTCGACAAAGTAAACTATACCGATCTTTCTCCCAAAAATAAATATTCTGGACTTTATATGTCCTTAAGATCAAGCACAAATATTAATTAGAAGTTGATTCTGCTAGGTAAACAACATTTGAACGGTAAATGAAATTTCAAAGCATTGATTTTTCTGTTCAAATAAAATCATTAAAAGAGAGGGAATAAAAATTAAGGTCATACGCGATTCCAAGCTGAACCAAGCGTGGCAGACTGAGATTGACAAGGGGGAACATCTTCTGGAGTTAGCTTACGAGGCACAGGCGCAGGCGCAGCATCTTCCGTTATTTTCCTTACCCAATACGTATAGGAGGCTCCTTGCTGCCCTTCTTCTTTCTCTGACGACACTAGGGCTCCAGACTCCATTTGACTACTTCTCCCAACAAATTTTAAATTACAAAGAAAGCTAAAGTTTAAATTGCACCATCAAATTAAAAAGAAAAATGAACTAACATTCAAGAAGCAGCAAAAGATTGGTCCCAATCTATCTGAAAGCATGCACCAGAGAATCGTCAACAAAGGCTGCAGGGGAATGGACAGCGGGATGCAATTAATAATTGCTCTTCCGGAAGTTTCCCGTAGATCGGAGAAGAAGGAATTGGAAAATCAACATGTCAAAATTATCTTTTGTTAGAATAAATAATATATATGTATAATCTATACAATTTTATTTTTAATTTTTTAAATAATACAATTAATATAATTATGTATATACGTTTAAAGAGATTTATTTATTATTTTAAAAGTTTTGAAATAAAATCAAAAGTGATTTGTTAAAAATATTTACTTACTGCAACATTTTATTTTATGTCATATCTAGATAGTAGATATGTGTTATGAAAATACAATTTTCACTTTTCAAGTATGAGAAGGATAATTTTAACATAATTTAATATGAAGTTTTTATTCATAAATTATTTAAATATCTACTGTGATTTGAATCGTTCAATTGTATCCAATGGTAACAAATTTCTGATCCACCAATAAATAAGTTGTTAAGCTGAATCACGTAGAAATTGTCATAAACCTTGTCATTTATCATTTCTTTGGCAAGTGTACCAAATCATACATGTAGTTTAATAATAAGTATGTTTACCGTTTCCCAAGGGACTTACGCAATACTTGATAGAAACCACTAATTATACTAAACTAAGCTATTGGAAATAATTTTTTTTGATTGGTTATAAGAATTAAAGTACTTGAACAAGATAAATGTTATGAGAAGTCTTTTTAGACTTTTTACGAATACTTAGAATGCAAAAACTAGTTTTAACACAATAATGAAAGATGTTGGGGTTCAACTTCACCAAAGTTTTCTCTCATGATTACAAACAAGCTCAAACTAGTTATGATTCAGAATTTATCAATCACTCACAAGTATAATAGACCCTAAAATCTTTACAATTTTGACTTTAAATCACTTGATTAGTTTATCAATTCGTTAAATAACTTGTTTCTACTTTTAACCATTTATTATGAAAACTTATCTTTTATACAAACTAATATCCAATTTTGATGTTGCCTTCTTATACACTTTTTTAAAAATTACATTCACTAATTACTAACATTTATCAATAAAAAAATTATATTTGAATATAACTTTTTAACAAATTTATTATAAAAATCTTATAATATAACATATTTTTTTTACAACATATAATATAATTAATGTTGTTTTTTTTTCTGTGTATATTATTAATATTAGTTAAAATATATTAGAGTAGACATAAATTTATTTGTGTCCGTCTCTCTAAGTGCTTGTCTCCCCTCTTTTCAAATTTGTATTTTTTTTTGCCTCCCTCTCTTTTGTAATTTGAAATTTCTTTATTTCTCCACACCAATGCCTCCTATGTATCTTGCGCTTCTTTTCTTTTCTTTTGTCTTTGCAAGTCCAAGACGATTGTGGATTGCTTTTGCTTCTCTGATTTTGAATTGAGATTGATTCTTGTTTCAATTTCTTTGATTCTTGTTTTGTTCTATTTAGAGTGCAATGAGACTAGACTCCTTAATTGTATTTATTGTTGTTTTTATTCCAGTGTCTATGTCTTAGTTCTTTCTTGAACTTGCATTTTCTTGTTTTCAAGATCGGGTGTTTTTTTTATTGATTTTAATACGGATAATGATTGCATAAAAGAAAAAAGAATGATGTAGTCATTTTGTGACATAGGTTAATATAATCTCGATCACTAATGTTTTGTTTGTGCATTTGTGCACCCATTATTTTAGTTTGAAGAATCTTGTTTGGTGGTAAAAAGGTGGGTCTTTTTCAATTATTTTTTGATTTCCATTTTCTGGGTTTGGATCAAGATTTTGAGATTGGGAACTTGTGTTGCAGTTTCAACTTGGAGTGGATGAAAGAAAGCTACAACCTATTCGTTTCAAGACCTAGGTGCATTCTGGTAATGAGCAAGTCATAAATGATGTGTGGTTTGTTTTGAATTTTATGGTGTATTTGTGGGAACTTAAATATGACTATTTGGTATTAGATTTGAATATTCAATGATACTATGTTGTTGTGTATTTCAACTTTGAGGTACATGATGTCACTTATGTATATTATTTTATATGTGTATTTTTTTTAGTTTAATTCCATAATTGTATGTGATATGAATATGAATATGAACTAGTCAACTATTCCCAGAACACTATACTAAATTGTCACATACCTATGTAATTTAGTCAATCACTAGTTGATTGAAGTGTTTTGTTTTTTGGGTAACAGATAAAGATTGTTATTGTGTTGTGCTGTTGTACTTCACACATAGTTTATGAACGAAACATTTAAATTGCAATATGTGGTTTGTTTGTTTATATTTTTTTTAACAATTTAGTAATAAATTTTTGTGATTTATTTATTGTAGGCAAATATTGTCTTTGGTGATTAGAGTTATGTATAGAAGTTTCAACTGAATTCAACTCAAACTTTATTATGTGCTGGAAAGGAATGTGTGAAGTGGAAGAGGAATAAAATAGAAGCAGTTGTATTGTAGATACTATATATTTGTAGATAAATTTGGTTTATTTTTCTTTAAAACTTTAATAATTATGTGTAATATTCATTTTTCATAATTTCACAATTGATGACTAGACCTTTAACCCTAAATCCTAAAAATTGTCACATTAGCATTGGCGTGTCAACAAAATGGAGTTGATGGGCCGGAGTGCTTTCTAGGCCCGTGTCCACCTTTGTCTATCAAAAATCGTCGATCTATGTAGACTATAAATAATCCACTATTAGAAGCTCTGTAAAAAATTGATAATTGTTCTCCGTTGTCGACACCGATTTAGGAGTTAAAAGAAATATCGATTAACCTCTGTCTGACCTATATTTCTCTTAGCTTTAGTGAGTCAAGGAAAATCTTTGAATTTGCTACTTCCCATCTTTTCAAGAAAGTGATCTAAATAGCATTGACAACTAAATCGTCGACCAAAATTTATATTCATGTTTTCATATTATGAAAGTTGTTCAATTATGTATATACTTTTAAAGAGATTTATTTATTATTTTAAAAGTTTTGAAATAAAATCAAAAGTGATTTGTTAAAAATATTTACTTACTGCAACATTTTATTTTATGTCATATCTAGATAGTAGATATGTGTTATGAAAATACAATTTTCACTTTTCAAGTATGAGAAGGATAATTTTAACATAATTTAATATGAAGTTTTTATTCATAAATTATTTAAATATCTACTGTGATTTGAATCGTTCAATTGTATCCAATGGTAACAAATTTCTGATCCACCAATAAATAAGTTGTTAAGCTGAATCACGTAGAAATTGTCATATTATTGAAACAAGACTAATAATAAGAATTGGTGTTAGAAGGTGATACTATTTTATGGGCTGTAACTAGTGAGGATGGCCCAATCTGAATTGTACAAAAGTACTAAATGAGACTAAATTTCTTCACTCGTGAGCAACTACAATAAACACAAAAGAAGGCAGGCAACACCGTTATCAACCTGCACTCCTTCTACCTCGTCCGTTGGGTAAATATTGATAATTTTTAAATATTTTTATTAAATAAAATATTAAAATCTCAAATTATTTCAATTCACTAATAATATATAATTTATACACCCACTAATAATACATATATAAATAAAGTTAGTATAACTCATTCAATAATAAATTGAGATTAAAAAAATAATTTTAAATGAATAATTTAATTTATATTAATAAAAAAATATTAATTAAAAGTATCAAATCGTATATACATTAAACGATCTTTTTATTAATCTATTTATAAGAGGATAGTATTTGCAAATCACGATTAACTGGTATTTTAACTTTTGCATAGATATTTGTTTTTAATTAACTAATTAAAATTTATAATAAATAATTTAAATATGTAAATTATATTACGACTAAATTTATAGTAAATAACAAAAGTTACACCGACTTTTCTTAGTATTTTTAAATAATACGCATTTTTTTTAGTTTTATAAATACTCACCACTCTTTAAATAATATTGAAAAAATTGATATTACTAAACTTATATATATATATATATATATA